TTTCACTTTAAAACATACATTCATAGGAATAAAGGTCATAGTAATGCTTAATAAAAGATCTATGGAAACAATGGAATCAATAAGAAGGACATCAAGCCCTTTTAACAAAATCAACCAAGGAACACAATGTATACTATTCTAGAACTAACTTAAAACCCATTAGTGCGAATATTAATAACGTAGGTTAATGCTATGCAAATATATCGCAAAACTGCCTTTACCTGCGCATTCTGACTGCGAAGGAATGATGTAGATATTCTTTGTAAGATGGTCATTTAGAAAATATTTCTGAAAATACGTAAAAATGAGGGCATAAGAACCAAGTTTCATAAGAGTTAAATTGCAAATCTATTAAAATTATAATTGAAAAGCCCATTTACCGATGGTGGCAGATAATTAACTTTAGACCTTGACAGTTAGATTTTTCTAAAATTTTGACCAACTGGGAGTAGCAATAATATAAAAATTTGATATGTTTTTGCTCTGCGAAAAGTTTCAAAAAGTTTTGTATATTTAATGATAATTTAGATCATCATTTGTTTTGCCTATTTACTTAGTACTTGAATTTAAACAGTTTTCGACGAAACATAATTTTATTTTGAGCTCCAGATATGTATCTGAATATTTTTAGTCAGATAACTCCCGTCATTTCCACTATTTTGGGAGACGACGCCTTGGTGGATTTTAATGATGGTCAATAAACATATATATATATATATATATATATATATATATATATATATATATATATANCTCAGGTACTTTCCCATAATGTTTTTTAATTTCCCATGGACAATCATAATGAAAAATCAGATAAAACCCCCAATGGGATTTGCAAAATTTATCTATCAATAAGATTGTTCGTTGTGTGCTGGCGCCACAGCGCTTATTGTGCTCTTTTTCTAAGTCAGGACTCAAGTATTCAATGGAAATCAGCACAGTCCCATTGAATGGAATAGCCAACTGCACTAGCTGGATTTGCCTACTGAACGGGTTGGTAAAATTCGTGGTTTTTGCTTGGGAAGCACAAGTACAACTATGCCCAACACTTAAAAATGGCGTTTTAAGCGGAATTTCTGAATAGCCATTCAAATTACACTGGATAAAAGCATTCATTGGACAAAGATCATGTAAAGTCAGATTTGGAAATGCTCTATCAAAATCCAATCTTTTACAAACAGGTCTTCCACAGGGAGCTGTCACAAGCTGCACTCTTTTCAATGTCTTCATCAATGACATAGCCGAATTGGTACAGACAGTCACGGGCGTTAAGTGCTTACTTTATGCAGATGATCTTGTTCTATGGTATTCCGCCCCTAAGAAAAACGCTAAGGAGAGGACAGAAAGTGGCCTAAATTGTGCACTTAAACTACTAGCAAACTGGTGAGACAACAATGGAATGGTAATCAACACTGCAGAATCTGCATTCCAAACTTTTTCTTTGGCCCATCACAGCATAAACCCGCTTCTAAGGTACAAGGATACTACCATAGAAAAAACCAATGAGTTCACATATCTCGGAATGACATTTGCCACAAAGCTAACGTGGAAAAGTACATTGCTAAAATAGCAGAACGCGTCTCCAATAGACTGAATGTACTGAAGCGTCTTGCTGGTAGCGTATGGGGCTGTGCACGCTCAACTCTAAACACCACTTAAAAGATGTTTATTCAGCCAATAATGTTGTATTGCTGTGAGCCACTCATTACAGCCACAGAGGTGACTCTCAAACCCCTCGAGAAGGCACACAACCAAGCATTACGACTAATTAGTGGAGGGATAAAATCAACACCCATTGATGCAATGCTCCTAGTTACAGGAAGCACCACAATAGGTTCCCGTATCAAAGAAAAGGCCTTGATCCTGTATGAGAATCTGCTGCACATTCCCATGGACAAATTCTTCAGCACCTATGAGAATAGAGCAAGACACCTGAAAACGCAATCTTGTCTAATACAGAAAGCCATAGAACTGAAGAATGCATTACAAATCGATG